AACCCTGATTTTACTTAATAATGACCCCAGGCACAAGAGTAGTGATGCTGGCAATTCAGAAATGCCCCAGAGAAGATGTAAAGGTACTTATGCATAGGAAAAGCAGCATATACGGGGCTCGGTGCCATCTGTGGTTTCAGGCATCCACCGGGGTCTTGGAATGTATCCCCCCGTGGGTGGGGGGACTGCTGTATTGTGAAATGATCACCACAGTAAGTCTAGTTGACATCTGTCACCACACATAGTTACCAAAAATATCTTTTGTGATAAGAGGATATTTAAGATTTAACTCTCTTGGCAACTTTCAAATGAGCAATCCAGTATTATTAATTACTAGAGGCCCGATGCACAAAAATTTGTGCACTCGGGGGGGGGGGGGTCCCTCAGCCCAGCCTATGCCCTCTCACAGTCTGAGACCCCTCGGGGGATGCCCACCTGCTGGCTTAGGCCTGCTCCCCAGGGGATTGGGCCTAAACTAACAGTCTGACATCCCTCTGGCAGCCCGGCAGCCCTCAGGGGATGTCCACTTGCCAGTGGGGAGCAGACCTAAGCTGCAGTCGGACATCCTTAGCGCTGCTGAGGAGGCGGGAGAGGCTCCCGCCACCACCGCTGTGCTGGCAGCCATCAGCCTGGCTTGTGGCTGAGCAGAGCTCCCCCTGTAGGAGCTCACTGACCACCAGGGGGCAGCTCCTGCATTGAGCGTCTGCCCCCTGGTGGTCAGTGTGTGTCATAGTGACCAGTCATTCCCAGTCGTTCTGCTGTTAGGGTCAATTTGCATATTACCCTTTTATTATATAGGATAGAGGCCTGGTGCACGGGTGGGGGCCGGCTGGTTTGCCCTGAAGGGTGTCCCGGATCAGGGTGAGGGTCCCGCTGGGGTGCCTAGCCAGCCTGGGTGAGAGACTGAGGGCTGTTTTCAGGCTGGCTACACCCCCTTCAGGGTGGGGGTCCCCACTGGAGTGCCTGGCCAGCCTGGGTGAGGGGCTGATGGCTGTTTGCAGGCTGGCCAAGCCCCCCAGCGGGGACCCTCACCCCATGGGGGTGTGGCCAGCCTGGGTGAGGGGCTGAGGGCCATTTTCAGGCTGCCCTTCATGGTGGGGGGAGGGTCCCCTGGGGTGCCTGGCCAGCCTGGGTGAGGGGCTGATGGCTGTTTTCAGGCTGGCCACGCCCCCTGGCAACCCAAGCTCCCAGCCTCTCCTTTTTTTCTTTTCTATTTTGGCGGGCTGGAAGCAGGTACCTGGGATTTATTTATCTTCTATAATTGAAACTTTGTAGCCTTGAGCGGAGCCCAGGGCCGGCCAGGGCAGGCAGGAAGCTTGGCTTCCTCCATCGCCAGGGGCAACCCAAGCCTCCTGCTCACTCCAGCTCCATGGCTGTTGCCATCTTAGTTGGGTTAATTTGCATACTGGCTCCTGATTAGCTGGTGGGCGTGGCTTGTGGGTGTAGCAGAGTGGCAGAGTGATGGTTAATTTGCATCTTTCTTTTTTATTAGTGTAGATAGTAGCCATTCTGTAGATTGCATAGCCATGACCAATTTATTTGTTAACTGGAAATTTGAACCTTTTGAACCCCTTCACTCATTCAACCTATCTCCCACCCCTGCCTCTGGCAACCACCAGTCTCTTCTCTTGCTGCATAATACAGGGTGTCCCCCCAAAATATATACACACTTTAATAGCCAATACCTATTAAATGAAAGTGAAATGTACTTTATAATTATTCAAAGTGTGTGTATACATTTTTGGGGGACACCCTACAATTTGACATGAGATCTGGCAATGGAACAGTCAGGAATCTCAGACACTTGACCCATGAATTTAGGGAAAGAAATGATGTGGGGGAGGTGAAAATTGCCACTCCTCACTGTTGGGCCAAGTATGTGCATGTGAGAAGTCCCGCCACCACCCCACCTGTTCCGACCACGCACACCTCGTCCCCCTGCCTTTCCCACCTTAATCTACGTGTCAACATACTCCCTTCTGCTGGGAATTCTCATTATAAATATGCTCTAAAGTTGCTGGTTTCTAAACATTAGTTGACTGACAAGTGCTGGAGTGGTCACGTGAGAATCACGTGAGGCCCAGAGCCAGAGACTATGATTTCATGGTTCCGGGGGGTCCTGGAAATCAGTATTTAGGAAACACAATCACTGTTCTCAGTGGTTTCTTCTCCAGCACGTTTGGGAACGCTGCTCAGATGTAAACGGGAAGGGCAGTCTAGCCCCAGAAAGGCTCTCTCACTTCTTGTTTAAACAAAACAATGACTACAACTTCCAGCCTATAGGGACCCCAGGCAGTCCGCCACACGTACTGGGTTACACAAATTTTATCTGGGGACAGCGATGAAGAGAACAGAACTTCTGGTCCCTGCCCTCAAGAACTCAGAGCCAATTCTGGTGAGACAAGACTGTCACAATGAAAACACTCAACAGTGTTTGTAGAACAGATACAACTAAGTGTATGATGTTCTGCAAACAGATGGAGAATGACTGGCTCAATTCGGAAGGAGAAAGGAACGTTAAAGGAGTTCATATTGACATTCAAACTGGTGCCCCACCTGCTCTGTCACTTCCTATGGAACAGTTCTCTGGAGAGACCTGTCAGGCTGAGGGTGTGGTTGTGAGGCTGCATGGGGGTGACTCGTATGTCACTCTCTTAAGTAGCGAAACCACTTCACTGTATATGTGCTAATAAGTTGGGAATGTCTTAAGTGGAGGAAATCTGGATGGTGACCAAGAAGGCAGAGAGCCAGCATGGAGCTTGGGGACACAAAATTTCTCTGTTGTTACACGTGCTGCTGACTAAGGCTGCCTCCCTTTTGCTACAGGGCATTTCCTTCTCTGAAACTGACCGTCTCATGGGTATGCAGGCCTACTCCAGCAGCCATAGGGATTTTCCCAAGCTATAATGCAGGACCTCAGTGTTTACTTACAGTGAAGAGAAGGTTGTTGACTATAAGGAACCACACCCATAGCCCATCTGCCTAGACTGTCCCTGTGAATGAAACAGGTTTTCCCAAACTTGCCTGCTTATCAGAATCCTCTGGGATGCTTGTTAAAAATACAGGTGTCTGGTTTCTTCGGCTAAATTCCCAGAAGTGGAATTACTGGGTCATAGGCAGTTCCATTTTTAATATTTTGAGGTAACTCCATACTGCTTTCCACAGTGACTGCACCAGTCTGCATTCCCACCAACAGTGCATGACGGTTCCCTTTTCTCCACACCCTCCCCAAAACTTGTTTGTTGATTTATTGGTGATAGCCATTCTGATAGGTGTGAGGTGATATCTCATTGTAGTTTAATTTGCATTTCTCTAGTAATTAGTGAGTTGAGCATTTTTTCATATGTCTATTGGCCATCTGTATGTTCTCTTTGGAGAGTGTCTATTCAAGTCTTTTGCCCTTTTTTTTTTATTGGATTGTTGTTGTTTTTTGGTGTTGAGTTTTATAAGTTCTTTGTATATTTTGGATATTAACCCCGTATTGGATGTATCATTGGTGAATATGTTCTCCAATTCAGTGGGTTGTCTTTTCATTATGTTGATGTTTCCTTTACTGGGCAAAAACTCTTTAATTTGATGTAGTCCCATTTGTTTATTTTTTTGTTTCCCTTGCTCAAGGAGATATATCAGAAAAATATTGCTATGAGAAATGTCTGAAATTTTACTATGTTTTATGATTTTGAGTCTAACAATTATGGTTTTGAGTCTAACATTTAAGTCTTTAATCCATTTTGAGTTTATTCCTATGTGGTGTAAGAAGGTAGTCTAGTTTCATTTACTTTGCACATTATCTGTCCAATTTTCACAACACCATTTGTTGAATAGACTATCTAATTTGAAAGAATATATGCACCCCAATGTTTATTGCAGTGTTATTTACAATAGCCAAGATTTGGAAGCAGCCCAAGTGTCCATCAGTAGATGAGTGGATAAAAAAGCTGTGGCACATTTACACAATGGAATACTACTCAGCCATGTAACAACATGGATAGAACCTGGAGAACATTAAGCTAAGTGAAATAAGCCAGTCAGAGAAAGACAAGTACCACATGATTTCACTCATATGTGGAATTTAATGAACAAACTGAACTAACAAGCAAATGGAGACAGACTTGTAGAGAGCAGGCAGACAGCTCTGGTGTGAGAGGGGAATATTGTCGGAGTGGAGGGATGAGCAAAAAAGAAAGAAAAAGAACTCATGGACACAGACAACCGTGTGATGATTGTTGGGGGTGGGGGAGAGGAGTGGGTGGAGGTGAAAGAGGGTATAATGGGGATAAGTGGTGATGAAAAAATAAAATAAAGAAAAAATAAAATAAATAAGATGTCAGATGTCTGAGCCTCAAATTACAGCTATCAAATCTGGATCTTCAGAAGAGAGGCTTTAAAAAAAAAACACACACACACACACAATTCTTTGGGCAGGGTACACTTGGGAAACTGCTAAGTGACACACCCTCTCTTACCCGTGGTGAACTAACTCTTGCCCCTGCTGGACAGCTGCTGCCGAGGCGAGGCTGAGGGGAGCATTCCTGGGGAGTGGAAAGTGTTTTTTCTATTTAAAACCCACAGTGGTAACAATATAACTACCCTGTTCAACTGTGCACCAGACACTCTACTGGAAGCTTTTTATTTTTTAATATCTCATGTAATCCTCCCAATAACTTACTGAAGTGTGGGTTATTGTCGCTATTTCCTCAGCGGGAGGCAGAACGACAGGAAGTTAAGTGACTTGTCCAAAGGCACACACAGCTAGCAGTGGCAGAGCTAGGTCAGAACTCCGTCTCTTCTCCATTACACGTCATCGATCCTGGGACCTTGAATCAAACAGCTGCACATTCCAATTGGGAGCTTACCAGCCCAATTCAGAACACCACCCCACGTAAAGGGGAAACGAGGAGGGAGCTGAAATTTACCTTAAACTCCAGTGGGTGTGTGAACGAGGAATGAAGTCTGGGAAAGCATAGGAGAAGGATGTTGATTCCTCGTTTGGTCCTCAGGTACTGGAACTCCTTAAGCAACCTGGTGGCATCCTTGCTGAACTCCGTGCGCTCCATCGCCTCCCTGCTCCTACTGCTCTTCCTCTTCATCATCATCTTCTCCCTCCTGGGGATGCAGCTCTTTGGAGGAAAGTTCAACTTTGATGAGATGCAGACTCGGAGGAGCACGTTTGATAACTTTCCCCAGTCCCTCCTCACCGTGTTTCAGGTATGGACTCTCCTCTGCTGGGCTTATGACCTGGGGGGTGGAGGTTGTCGAGTGGTGGGGGGAGTGGGGAGCAGGAAGAAGGAGCCTGGCAAGGTAGGGGGAAGCTTCACCCTTGCATGGGCAGCCAAAGCCAGCTAGATCAGCCACAGAGGGTCCATGCCAGGGGAACCTTGAGTTCCTTCTATAGTTTCCCCCACCCGCAGGCCCCCATGGAATTTCCCTGTTGGGTGGACTATTGATAAAAGATCTAAATGAGAGGTTTAAAAACTCTTCCTAGCCTTGGGGACCTTTATTCAAATAAATTCTACATGGAAGCCCAAAATATAAACAAATAAAAGCAGACTACTCTGTTGTGGGAGGGGAGGATGGAGCTCTGTCTGTCTATCCACCATGCTTGCCCCTAGAAATATATAGCTAGCCTATCAGATTTGTGCTTCCATAGATATTTTGGTTTAGGGCAAAGCTAAAGTAGCACTTGTTTTAGTTTAAAAGTAGAATGATTTACAGGTAAAAATGAATAACAATGTGGATGTTGCCAAAATCTTAAAGCTGGGACCCAGATGACTAATGTTTGGAGAGAACTGGGTTGTGTGTTATTCTCCCGATGTACACATTCACATTTGTAAAGGGGCCCCTGATGTCTTAACCCAAGGAATGGCTAGCGGTGGCCATCCCATGCAGCATATGTGGGCAGTGGGAGGTGCCTTGACCAGGAAGCCCTTTGGGTCACTTCTCAAATAATAGTGTGCCGGTGGCCATGCACTTTGAGGACGGGTCAGCCTGCCAGGTCCAGCTCAGTGGCCCAGGGAGGAGAGCTGGGGCATAAGGGCCAGAGGTGGAAGGAGATTTCAGGCGTTCTTGTTAGCAGAGTGGGGCAGGGCAGGGGAGTTTTGGGTTTGCTGTTGGTCTAACACTGTGTCCCTTATTGGTGGGAATGTGTCATTCAGATCCTGACCGGGGAGGACTGGAATTCGGTGATGTATGATGGGATCATGGCTTATGGCGGCCCCTCTTTTCCAGGGATGTTAGTCTGTATTTACTTCATCATCCTCTTCATCTGTGGAAACTGTATCCTTTGCTCCTGCCTCCCCACCCCTACCACCCACCCTCCCTCAGCCTACAGCCCGGTGCCAAATAGGTGTGCCCACAGGCCGTCACTCAGGGTGAAAACTGTGGTTGCCCATCCACAGGGCCCCCAGGCAAGTGGGGAAAGGCATGTTCTGGGGAAGAAAGCAGTTCCCAGCCCAGACCACCTTAGCTGGAGGAGGGGCTTGGTGGAAGGAGCCAGGAGCTGTGGCACAGGCGGGATGTAAGTTCATCTTCCTGTGCTGTTCTGCCTCAGCGCTGCCCGACTCCAGGAGGCGTGTCCTCCTCCTAGTTCAGGTGACCAACACCCCTGTGTTATCGTGTGCAGCCCCATGTGAGCTCACACAGACTCCCATGTGAGCCACCTAGATGGGAGCGCCTTAGCTGCCCTGGCCTCATGGGGATGGGAGGCTTTGTTGACTGAACCTCGCCCTTGACATGACCGTCATCTCTTCCCCTGCCTTCTGGTTAGTGCTCCTCCCTCTGAAGCCACTCTGCCAGCCTTTGGTCATGGGGAAAGCTGGACACGCCTCACTAGGCAGGTCCACGGGCAGTATTTTAGGGTCTTACATGTGGGCACTCCTCTCTGCCTATGGTGGTCACCTGTGAGGCTGTGTGCAGAGGTGGGAGGCCAAGTAGACCGGGGTCTAAATCACAGATGAATGAAATGCAGAAAGCATGGCCCTGGCCCCAAAGATAGGCTGGGCAACCACTGCTGGTGATATACTGGGGTGATAAAGTGATAGTAGCTGCTCCTCAGTGGGTCCTTGTGAGGGTCAACGGGTAAGGCCCAAGGGCAGGTACCCAGCAGCCTCTTGGACAAACCCCCTGCCCCCGGTTGTGGTTTCCCTGTGTGTGAAATGGTATGACTGTCGTGTCTGGGGGAGGAGGTCAGACTTAACAGATGTTAAGTCCCTGCTCAGCTATCCTTTCTTTGCTTCTACAGTTCTCTGACCCAGTGTTTCCATTCAAAGTTGGGGGTAGAGGGAGAAGACAAGGGCAAACAGCCACTTCAGTCGGGACTTGCCAAGCTCCACCGGACCCTGAGGGCCTCTGTAGGGGCGGCTCGCATTAAGAGTTGGCAGGGATATCAGGCCACCTCCTCAGTGCCCAGCTATAATGAACAGCCCTTAAGAGCCCTCTGCGTTGTTAGAGACAATGCTCTTCATAATGTCAATTACAGCCAGCCGTCTCTGTGGGGGAACCAATAATGAAGCCCAGCAATTAAAGAGCGAGGCAGAGCACTGCCTTCCTCCCTCCCTGCTCTAGCCTGAAAGCCAGCCTACTCTCCACCCCTTAGAAAACTCCAGGTAGCTAGAAGTGTGATGTGGAGGCAAAGAGATGGAGGAGGGACACCCCTGAGCTCAGCACTCCTGAGTCACTGTTGAGCTCCCTCTGTGGGGAACTCTATCCCTGCATGTCCTGCACCCCCTAGCCCCCTATGCCCACCAAAAACCCCAAGGCCAAGGGTCGTTTTCTTTAAGAATGGACACAAACAGATATCCTACTGAATGTGTTCTTGGCCATTGCTGTGGACAACCTGGCTGATGCTGAGAGCCTCACATCTGCCCAGAAGGAGGAAGAAGAAGAGAAGGAGAGAAAGAAGCTGGCCAGGTAACCCTCTAAGCTGCCCAGGCCCAGGGCCCCAGGGCCCAGTTCTGCAATGCCATTCCCATTGGTGGTAAAGAGAGATGAGAGCACGGCCTCTGCTGGCCTGTGTCCCTCCCAGAAGGGCACTGGGTTCGGGACTTCCTAGAATAGGTTGGGCCTCTCCCCTAATTCCTAGGCATTGCTCCAAAGTGGGGACCAGCATGAGTTACAGCCTCTGTGAAGGCATTGTATTCCCCCACCTGTGTAGGAAGTTGTGTTTTTCTCCTTTGAGAAAAGAGGTCATCGTAGGTGAGGGGAGCAAAGGATGGGAAGGTGGGAGCAACCACTCAGTGAAGAATTGTAACTCCAGGTGAAAGAGAGATTCCTTCTCACTGTTTTAAAGGCAAAATTGGGCCCTCCATTGTCTTTTCATTGTCTAGATGGGACTGTCCTAGGCCACAGATCTGCTGGGTACTGAGCCGAGTTCTCAGGAGCCAATCCTGAATGAGATCCCAGAACCTTTCTCTGACTTAGACGGGGCCTGGGAAAGGCCAACTGAGTACAGACAGCAAGGTGTGGCCAGCTGCCTGGATCCTGGGCCCAGCCCAGTAGCATTGGTGATGGAGCTGCACCTGCCTGTGCCCTGGAGAAGGAAGATGGACACAGGCACGGGAATCTGCTCCCACTGGCCCCCAGCAGACCTCGGGGCAGTTTCCTACCCCTGTTCCCTGTCACTCCAGTAAACATCCCTTTATGGTTTTCTCCTGCTGACCGGCCAGGACTGCCAGCCCAGAGAAGAAACAGGAGGTGGTGGAGAAGCCAGCAGTGGAGGAGACCAAGGAGGAGAAAATTGAGCTGAAATCCATTACAGCTGATGGAGAGTCCCCGCCCACCACCAAGGTGAGCACCGTCTCCTTCCAGGACCTGGGAGGGCAAGGACCGTCTTTGCAGGCCAGACACCCACGGAAAAGAGCAAGGAGAGAAAGAGACCGGTGGATAAGGGCAGTGAGGGTGGAGCAGGAGAGCAGGAATGTGAAGAGCAGGCAGAGTGATTGAATCCCAGCCTCTGTTAATGTCTCAAGGGTCTGTGCAAAGTTATGAGGATATATTTTTGAGTCAGCAGCTCAGCCACTGACTATAATGCAGCCTCTAAAAGTTGGGCCATGTCTGACTGGATTCTTCCTTCTCTCTCCCTCGGCTGCCTAGATCAACATGGATGACCTCCAGCCCAATGAAAATGAGGACAAGGGTGTCTACCCCAACCCGGAAGCGACAGGTATGGTTCCCCTGCCTGCCACTGGGGGGAGCTGGGGGCGGGGGGAAGGGAATGGAGGAGACCTAAAGCCATGTGAAAGTAACCATGTGTTAGGGGCCAATGGTTCCAGTTTTCCTCTACAAGGACTTTGCGTTGCTCAATATCTCCAGTCTCTGCACTGAAGCATTACCAATGATCATCTGGGGGAAACGCTGCTCCTGGTTTGCTCACAATAATAGTATAAGACTGAGTAAATTAGGTCTAAGCAGTGCTGCCGTGTCCTTTGGAAGATGGATTATGTATACATTTAAGGTTTTATTATATCTTACGTTGTAAAATCATTAACATTATATAATCCATTAGTCTAACATATGTCACAGCATCATGCACACAAAATAATAATAGTAAATTCCAAATCTGCCTTGTCCTTACTCAGGAGGCAGTGCTGAGTACAAGGACAGCTGCCACCACAGATGTCCCACTTGTCGCTTTGTAAACCGCTTTCAGGTCTCTTATTATAAAAAGAGCTAGTACCACTCGGTCTTCTCATCTTCTGTCTGATCTGTACATGGCAGGCAGGCTCCGCTGGGAGGCTTGGGTTGTCAGAGTTCCTTCCGCCTCCCTCCAGGATTCAATTCTCTACCTCCTGCAACCCCACGTCCTGTACCAGCCCTGGGTTTGCCGCACTTTTACCTACAATTGAAGATATTCCCACCAGCTTCAAGCTTGCACTCAAGTACATGCACTAAGGGACTGTTGATTTTACTGACATTTCCTGCTCTGTGTAGGCTAGGCTATATTTGGGTTGGTAGCCACCTTAGGTGGCTGACAACCTTCTGCACTTATAAGCAAAGCTAGGTTTTCCTTTTGCTTTCCCTCCCCCGGTTCTCTGCTGTGTTCTCTGCAAGGGCACCAGCAGCCACGTTGTCCCTGGGAGCAGGCTCCCTGCGGTCATTCCCTTCTCTCACCTCCCTCTGCAAGGGAAATAGGGCAGGGCGGGCTCCAGGCCTTGGAGGAGGGCCGGAAGGGTGTGTCCAGGTGCAGGCACTAAGCTTTTTGAAGTTTTAAAGCCCTTCTAGGTGGAAACCGTCACAGAATTTCAAAGACAGAGAACTATTGGCCAAACGCAATGGAAGGATTTTGTCTTGATCCTGCATGAATAAATTTTGAAATGACATTGTTTTAGCTAATTAGGGGAAATTGAATATGGACTGGGAACTAAACGATTTTAGTTTTTGTTAGTCTTGTTAATATAATGATATCATTATAATCCTATTTTTAAATGCTGAAGTGTTTATAGCTGGAGTCTAAAATATTTAGAGGTTGCTTTAAAATATTCCAATTTTTTAAAAACGGGAACAGAAGTAAATGAAACAAGATGGGCAAACTATCAATAGTTGTTGGAGTTGGGTTTGGAGGTCCACCATGCGAGGCTCTCTACTCATAGGATTATTATAAGGATGATTATTGTTATTAACGTTTAAAAGGAAAGACAGTAATAAAACAAATACCTCTGGGCCCTAAGCTATCTGTCCCACCTGCCTGAGCCTTCAGGAGGCCCTGCCCACAGCCATTCTCCCTCAGGGCTGGGGCAGACACAAACCTAGGACAATAGCTGCAAATTCCACAAACCTAGGACAATAGCTGCAAATTCATCATTCTAAATAGACTCATGGCTGTTCTCTTCTCTGTTGCTTTAAATAAAAAAAGAAGTGAAATAAAAAAGAAGCAGGTCAAGGGGAAAAGGACTAATAAGGATACTATTGTCCTGGTTTTAAGGATTCTTGGAACGGTTTTGCTTTTAAACTGAAAAGCTGTTCCCACACTGCTGACTCCTCAGGAGTCTTTAGATGTTTTTAGGATCTATTCTTTTCCCTGATCATGTGGCCACCTTCCTCTACCCTCTTTTCTACCCAGGCCTTTGTTTCTTTGGGTCCCACACTTCTCCCACCTCTGGTCCATAACCGAGGCTGTGCTGCCTCTGCGGCTCCCCACCACCACCGAGCAGGCCTTGAAAGCAGCTCCTAAGCCCCTCCCTCTCCTCCAAGGCTAACTCAGCATCTGCTTCCCAGCTCCTGCTCCCCCTTCCTGCCTGGGCAAGCAGCTCCTGGCTCCCTTAGTACCAGGTGCGGCAGACACCTCCAATGTCTCCTCCAAGGTCACTTGACCTGTTGTCTCTGCTCTTGTCAGTGCCTTGTTCCTGCCTGCTTCTCCTCTAACAAGTGCAGAATCTCTGAAGTGGAATGCGCCTTTCTGAGGAGGAGATGGAAGGAGTCTGTAGCAGAGAGAACAAAGGGGCCGGGCCAGGTCAGAGCCGGTGCCCGGGTGGACTGTTGCAGGTGAAAGAGCACTCGAAGTTCCTTGTGAGGAACTTAGGAAAGCACAACGCTAGTAAATATGTTTTTCTATAAACACAGATGATTAAGATAATCATTAAATTACCTGTTACCAAATTATGGTGAATAAGAAAGTGTTGGATTATCTGGAGCAAAAGTGAAAGGAAAACAAACAGGCAGAAACTTAAAATCCTTACTTTAATTTCATTTGTAAATATCATGATTTAAAAAACCAGTTTAAAAACCAGTACAGTTCTGGGAAAACCAGCATGAGTCAGTCACCTAAGGTGGCTACCAGGTGCTGTCAGGAAAGTCTTTCTCTAACATAGATGAATTCCAGCGGTGCCCTCGGGGAGAAAGCGGAGTGTCTGTCTTGGTTTGTACCTTATGTTTTCAGAAATACAAATGATGTCTTGATTCTTGTCAGTAGGAAGGCATCTGAAGTCGGCAGCACAGTGGTGAAAGTAAATGGAGTTATTTAGAAGGTGCTTTTTTTCTTTCAGGAGAGGAGGATGAGGAGGAGCCTGAGATGCCCGTGGGCCCACGCCCACGCCCACTCTCGGAGCTGCACCTCAAGGAAAAGGCAGTGCCCATGCCTGAAGCCAGTGCATTTTTCATCTTCAGCCCCAGCAACAGGTGTGTGAGAATAGTGGGGGAGGTGGACTCTGCTCTCTCCAGGCTCCAGGACCGCCAGCTCACACAACTTGTGTGAAGAGAGGGACTGGTTTTGTTAAATATATTTATTCAGCATGTTAAATATATTATTCCACTGTACAGTCAGCTGGCATTCCTACACTCACTGTAGGTAATCTGCCCCTTATCTCTTTTTAGGGAAAAGAGTTCTGGATTCCAAATCAGAAGGCCTGTGTTTATTTTTCTCTTCATTTTTTGAAATACGTAAACCCTATTTCTAGTCTTTTAGTGATTATTCTTGGTAATTAGTAAGTCTATTTAACTTAAACTCTAAAGCTAACAAGATCTTTAACTTTGTGCAAGATATCCTTAACTCCTTGCAAAATAAAAGGAAGTTCAATTATTTTAACTCCTCTCAACCCCTCCTGCCTTACGTGTTATTGTTGATTAGTATTTAATCCTGAAGTTAGACATTATTGTCAATATCAGTATTATTATATAGGCAGTATATATTTGGATTTACATACAACTTACCAGTCCATCCTTCTGCAATCATGTTTTTTCTTCCTAAAGTACATTCTTTGCTTCTTTTTTTAAATTGCACTTTTTTTTTTACTTTTCAATTACAGTTGACATATAATATTATATTAGTTTCAGGTGTCCTAAAGTACATTCTTTAGAAGTTCCTGTAGTTCCTGTATGATAAATTCATTTGGCCTTTGTTTATCTATATATGTAATTGTTTTCATTTTTTATACTGAAATTTGACTATTTTATTTTATTCTTTAAGTTTTCAGTTTTCATCCATGTATTTTAGACATGTACACATGTTAGTTTTCATCAATCAGGTTTTTTTAAACTTATCTTTATTGTTGAAAGTGTTACAGATGTCCCCATTTTTTCCCCATTGATCCCCTCCACCTTGTACCTGCTCCCCGAAGGCCTTCACCTCAGTATTGTCTGTATCTATGAGTTATGCACATATGCATATAAGTTCTTTGGTTAATCCCGTCCTGTCCCCTCTCCTCCCTTCCCTTTGAGATTAGTCAGTCTGTTCCATGCTTCTATGTCTCTGGATCTATATTGTTCATCAGTTTATTTTGTTCATTTGATTCCACATTTGAGTGAGATCATGTAATAATTGTCTTTATCATTTTTTGCTCTTAAAAATAGTTTTGCTGTGTACACAATTTTAAATTGACAGGTTTTGTCCCTCAGCATGTTAGATGAATTATTCCACTGTATAATTAGCTGTTATGCCTAATTCCTACTATCATTTCTTTGTAGGTAATCTCCCCTTATTTCTAGCTGCTTTTACCATCTGTTTGTTGCCTTTGATGTGCAGATTTACTACCATGTGTCTAGACATGGACTTTTTTCTACTTATCTTGCTTGGAATATGTTATGCTTCCTAAGTGGATTTATATTTTTCTTCAGTTCTTGAATGATATTGAAGATTAAAATAATAATTGCTAATTCTTGAAAAATTGCAGCCATCACTCTAAATATTGCCCGTCCTCATTCTCTCTGTTCTCTCCTTCTGGTACTCTAATTAGACATATGTTAGACCTTCTCATCTGCCTACTCTAGCTCTTAATGAGTCTTGCATACCTTTCATCTCATCTCTATTTTGGTATGCTGGTAATTTTTTCAGCTATATCTTCCAGTTTCTTAATTCTCTCTTCAACTTTGTCTATGCTAAATTGGTTTTTATATTGACTGTTATATTCTTTTTTTTTATTTCAAGCAGTTCCATTTGTTGCTTGATTTTACAGATTCATCTGTCTATATCTAACACTTACCTATTAATTCATCATCTTTGTGATCAAGTCCTTTATTTCATTAAATATTTCAAATATAGTTGTCCTATATTTTGTTTCTGATATTTTTAATATTCAAAGTCTTTGGCAGGGGGGAGTCTAAATCACTTATTTATTTATTGTTTTTTTCTGATTTTCCACCTTAGTGGCTTATCTTGTATCTTTAATGATCCTTGATTGTTATCTCAATACCTCATATTAATTGGTGACCTTAATTACTATTGGGGCAGCTTTTTGCCAGATATTTCTGGCTTGAAATGAAGCTTCCTGATAGCAGTGCTGCTACTGGCATCTATCCTCAGGCAGCTCTGCCCTCCTGCCTACCTATCACACAGTCCCCAGATTGGAGGATTTGTTTGTTTGTTTGAAGGGGATGGTCATTGCAGACTCCTCTGAACTCTCATGAAACCAGAATTGTCTCGAAGAGCTTGTCCTTTCCAGCGTTTGGTGCTTCTGCAGCAGTAAGGTCTTTCAGAGCATTTAGTCAACCACATGCCAGGAGCTGAGGTCTGAGGCCTGGTTTCGAGCCCTCACTCTACAGGTTACATTTCTGGGCAAGCTTCTCCTTCTTGAGATTCATTGTTTTTATTTACCAAATGAAAATGATGATATCCCCCATATCACCTTTCAAGCCGTCACGATAAGATAGTACATAAAACACCCTTGGCATTGGAGGCTTTAGCACTTGTGGTACTATCAGTGTGAGCCCAGAGATCCATGTGTGTAGTAGTTCTTTGTAATTGTGCTGAGGTGTGGAATTGAACGATACACTATGAAGCTATCACACAGAGTAAATCGCCTCCGTAGAGTGTAGGTTCCGCCATCCTCTCAGCATCCACGTCACTGGGTGGCTCTGTTGTTCCCTATACATAAAAATATGAAGTAGATCTCAAAGTGGAGTGTGTATTTTTTAATGATGGGGAAAGAAGTCTCCCAACAAAAGCCAGTTGTTAAGGTCACAACAGTATTTGAAAGTTTAGAAATTCACAGAGGCCTCAGATGTAACCCTATAAAATGTCAAAGCTTGCTATCAGTGAAAGAGCTTTAGAAGGCAGCATTCTGTGCAGATGTGCCTCGTGGTGGGGGTGCCGGGGCTGCTGTCACCCAGCGAGTAAGACTTCAGGCTGAAGAACCCCCTCCCCCAACTGGCGCACCTTCTGCACACTGAGAGGAGCTGGGGCTTCTGACATGCATCTCTTCTCTCTCCTCCCCATGCAGGTTTCGCCTCCAGTGCCACCGCATTGTCAATGACTCGATCTTCACCAACCTGATCCTCTTCTTCATCCTGCTCAGCAGCATTTCCCTGGCTGCGGAGGACCCGGTCCAGCACACCTCCTTCAGGAACCATGTATGCATTCCCGTTAGTTCTCTGCACCCCTTCCTCCCGGGAACGTGACTGGGCCCACAGCTTCCGTCGCTGACCTCATCGTTCAGTCAGGAGCCCAACTCCAAATCTCATAGTCAAATAAACAGTTCTTTATGAGATTAAGGCTTTGGTAGAAATCATATAAGGACCACAAGTAAGAGAACATGTACCCAGATACCTCAGGCTGGCCTGATGGGCAAAGGTCAGGACTTTCATTGCCCTGTGGATGTCCCCTGGTTTCCTGTAAACTTAATAAAAAAATATCCACTGATCCTGACTTGCTCCCAGGATACTCTGACCAGTCCTAATCATGAGGGAGTCAGGAGCACTGCAGACAGCTGCCAATGATAAGGCTGACCTTAAATAAAAGAGAGCTTCTGTGGCCTCCTATGGAGTAGAACTAAACTTGGAGGCCCACTCAAGGCTCTGATGAACAACATTAAAATCAAAAATAAGCATTGCTGTATCTCAAAGCCTCAAAACAAATCCCAACCAAGTGGGCATGAAGACAGGGGCCTGCCAATCTAAAGGCATGCCACGCAAACCACTTGGTGGTCCTGCTTGGTTCAGAGCATTTTTACTGGGAAAGGTATTGGGCCTCGCTCCGATCCACTGAGAAGGAATAAAACGGGAAACCATACAGCCTGCCCCAGCCTGGGTGGGCCTCCCCTGGAGGATGCACCCTCCTGTGCCCCAGAGGACACACTCCCACCAACATGGAAAGCTGGCCAAGCCACACCAATGTCAGTTAAGCACTTTGCATCTTCCTGCAAAAGCAAACAAGCAAACCCTATTTGCTGTCCTTTTGACAAGTTGTTGTCTCAGTGGACTGATTTGGGTTTGTAAGGATTGGATTAATGAGAAAAGCATCAAGATGCTGTAGAGACTTGGGACCAGCGGAGGCCTGCCCTGAGCTCCCTTCACACATCTGGGGCCTCCATCCAGAGCCACCAGCTGCCTGAGGCCAGCCCGCTTCAGGGTCCAGTGCTGTGTGTGTGCCACTCAGCTCCTAACTTGTTTGCCTTTGTCTCCATGTGGAAAGGCTCACGTGGTGTCTGTCGTGGTTTGAAGCGATTCCTTTCCTGGTGAACAGCCACTGACCTCTCCCCCATCCTGCCTCTCCCTTCCCTCCCCGTTCCCACTCCGTTTCTCTTTGTTTTACAGATTCTGTATTATTTTGATATTGTTTTTACTACCATTTTCACCATTGAAATTGCTCTGAAGGTAAAGCCCACCCCTCCCCCTGCACCTCCTGTCCTCCTCCGGGGCACTAGCTCTCTGCCACTGTCTGTCTCTAACACACATGCACCTGTTGCTGTCCGTTCCCTCTCTGAGCCACTAATTCCATTGTGCTTATTTTTCAGATCCTAGGCAATGCAGACTATGTCTTCACTAGTATCTTTACATTAGAAATTATCCTTAAGGTAATGCAACCTGAGAAATGCATTCTCTCTGTCTCTTTCTCTATCTCTGCCCTGCCTGCCTGCCTCTTTCCTCTTGTTTCTTTTACTCTCAAGCCTGAAATCAGAAGAATTAGTGCCCCTGACATTGTGCTAGCGCCTTGCTAAGGTTCAGAAGCCAGAGGAACCCCACCCCCATTCCCACACCTGCCTCCTCCCGGCCTGGCATTTGGCTGCCAGTGTCACCTACTGGGCTGTCCTGTCACCAGGTCTGGCCCTGTGCCCGCCAGCAGTGCCCCCACACTCCTGCACATGCCCCACACACCGTCTGTGGGCAATTGATGACTGACCCTGCTTGGACCTCCTCCTGCCCTGAGGAGATGCCACACAAACTCCAGTGGTGGGGAAGCTCCGGGCCATGGCAGGGTCGCTTTGGCTACCTTCTTTGATGCCCATCATCAACTCCTCAGTCCTTGCAGCAGACATGTGGGCCCAACACAAGATTTGGGGCCAGACTCTCCAATGAGTTCTGATAGACAACTCTAGATTAGATCACTCCTGCAGCCTCGGTGACCTGCCAGAAAGCTTTGTGGCAATGCCCCTTGCCCTGAGGAGGGAGAGTTATTCTGGAGAGCTAAGTACAGGGGGTGAGAGCCAAGTGCTGAAAGAAGCTGGAGCACCCAGGCCCCAGGGCCCAGACATGAGGGCTCAGGCCGCCAGCAGCCCCAGGTGCAGGCAGCTCATCTGCAGAATCCACAGCCCGCCTCCGCGCAGCACTGGGATGAGGCACATTATTTCCAAGTTTTTTCTTATTATTTATATTAATTATATTAATACATAATTCATAGATTACTTATGTTTTATTTTATTCTGATTTCTAAGTTTACCCAGTATACTTCTGAGCCTCTAACCAATGCATCGCCACTCCAGTTCATCCGAGACGTAGGGGATTTACCCTGACCCCAAACAGCCCCCCACCGAAGGTCAAAGCCTCCCAAGGGATGCTCCTCCCAAGGGGCCAGGCTCCCTTTCCACCCTTCAGGTGGCTGGTGCAAACCAACGTCCAACCTGGCCCTGTGAGGGCAGCGCCAGCCCCTGCTCTTCCTGGTGGAACTGCCACTGCCTGACCCAGCCGGTCACGTACAGGACAAGCTCTGTCTTTTCCAGTTAGTTTGGGTTGGGCAGTTTTGTGCCTTTTTTTTTTTTTTCCGTTCAGACCCAGCTTCGGTCCCTGGTTCCAGCTAACAAGACTGTTGCTGGGGTTTTCTCTCTACTCAGCAGAGTGGATCCTCCAGGTCCCGGTTCTGGGGGTGAGGAGAGGGGCCCAAGGGGTGCTGGCTGCACTGGGAGGGGTGCTGCAGAGCCCCCTTCCAGGAGGAGCTGATATTTTCAGACTCAGGGAGGCACACAAAATCCCCAAATCCTCTCCTGTGACCAGAAGTTCTCAGCGCCCTCTGCAGAGCCTCCCTGGGGGTTTCAGTGGCGCTGTTGTGCCTAAACATTTCACAAACAGGAGTGAGAGCTCACTGCACAGGCACTGTCATGGCAAGACCTTCCTTGCCTTCCCCTCTGCCTCTTCTGCTCTCTACCCCGTGTGCTTGCAGATATAAATCCCAGCCCCAGCGCACTGCCCTGCACCGCCTTCCACGGGCCTCTGCCTGGCTGAAGGCCTGGCGTCCTGCCACGGGCACAGACAATGACAGTCATCAAGAGGGACATTTAGTCCCAGGAGCAGGTGAAAGACTGGGGGGGTTTGGCATTAAAGAGAAAAGGCTTGTAGGACACAACAGTTGGCCTGAACGATGCAAAGGCCTGTCACATAGAGGAGGGAGGAGCTGGAACCAGGACAAATGAGCAAAAATGATAAAAGGTGAGATGCAGTTGGGAACTAGAATTGCTGGCTCCAGAAGTGGTGGGTCGCCCGTGGCTGGACAGAGGGGCCTTCCTGCCCTTCCAGCTCAGAGTCAGTGGCCCTGTGTCCCGCTGCTTTTCTCTCTTTGGGCTGAAAATGCCCAGCAGTGGCTTTTCCCAAGCAATGCCTCTGACAAAACTGGAACCCAAATCAAAGAACAGAGCTGGTGCTCTGAGCCCAGTGTGCACCCAAGGGAGGCATGCTTTCCCCTGGATGCAGATGGCTCTGTTGGAGCTCAGAGCGTCCTCACAATACCCAGCACCTTCTCTAAGATGAGAGGGGGGGTGGCTAGGGAGGTGCTCAGCCTTCAGCAGGCACAGAGCACTTTGGTTAACATGAACCATGGGAGCCACCCAAGTCCGCTCTCCGGGGTCCCAAATCCTCACCGAGAGGGGCAGCGAGCCCCTCCAGATGGTAGCCTCTGGGAGAGTTCTCCGACTCTATTCCCCTGCCACCTTTTATATAACCTGCCCACTTCAAGAAACGATGGCAGGACACAGGTGTCTGCATCCCTGTGACTCCCTGTGGCAAGAGATAAATGGAAAGAATTAGGTTGCAAGAGCTATTTTTGCTCATTCCCCCTGTGTTTGCTTGGAACCGCTCTGCAGACGTGCTGCCCTGGGCATGCTCTGCTCCAAAGGGATGAACTGGACCCGGTGTCCAGGGAGCCGCTCGGCCTCTCAGCCAGCAGCTTCCAAAGCTTCCCTTTGGCTGATGTTTTGTGGCCCGTGGCCGTTCACAGCCCTTCACCTGGAAACCCTTAATTCAGGTCAACACAATTGGAAAGGCTATTTGCTGAGCACCTACAGTGGCTTTATACCAAGCTCTGAGAGAGGTAATAACAGCCAGTACTGATAATACTCATCAGTCCACATGTTCCCTTTTGGTTTCACGTGGTTTTTTGTACGTAGTATGTGCCTCAGGGAGGCAGGGAATCGTGCACCCACTTTATCGATGAGGAAACTGAACTTCCATTGTGCAGAAAGAATCCAGAATTCAAATCCAAGCTCTCTGAGCCCAGCATGCACACAGCACTGACTACCAGCAGGATACTGTTCTAAGTGATTTACATACAATAGCTCAACTGGAACTTGTAGCCCTATAGGGGAGATATTATCAGTCTCCCCATTTCTTAGATGATGAAACTGAAACACAGAATAGTTAGTAACTTGCCCAGGCCGCACAAATAAAATACAATAGGGTTGGGATTTAAACCCAGGTGGCCTGACTTTAGAGCCTGTGATCTTTAACACGCACCACACGGCCCCTCTGGACACAGCTCTGGCCCTTGAAGAACACACAGTCTAGCAGCAAGATGGCAACTGAGTTTAGAATGCGTGGCCCAGATCAGAGGCAGTTTGAGGGAGGCTCAGTGCCAGAGCTACTGGCAGATCTTCTCACTGGGCAGTAGAGGCCCACCTGTTCCAATCTGCCTGAGACTGAGGAACCCATTCTTTCAGAACTGAACTGGGAAGTCCCAGGGAACCAGGATGGTTGTGACCTTCCTGGGCACACCTCCTCCATCCAGATGCCTAGTGTCCTAAGCTGGTTCCGATGTCAGTGGAATTTTGAGAGGAGGTTGGAAAACCTGGTCAGCATAGCATCAGCAAAGGGCCCCTCTGGGCTGGAGCCACGGCTATGCGACAAGGAACAGTAGAAAATGGGAAAGGGCTGGCGGCCTGATTTGAAAGGGCTTCAAATATAGGATTGAAGAGTCTGGCAGTGCCTGCTAGGTAGGAGACACTGATAGCCCCTGGGCTTGGGATTCTTTGGTGGTTGTATAAATGGTTGCAGAACCCTTTTCTTGACACTGTATCTCCTTCTCCAGTCTTGCCACCCCCCAGCCCTCTGTCCCCTCACTGCTCTTCGGGGTGCTGTGGGAGGGCAGGGTGGGGGGTCTCTGGAGCTTGGACGGGCACCACTCATGCGGGTGTTTCTCTGTGCCTCCCTGCAGATGACTGCTTATGGGGCTTTCCTGCACAAGGGCTCCTTTTGCCGGAACTACTTCAACATCTTGGACCTGCTAGTGGTCAGCGTGTCCCTCATCTCCTTTGGCATCCAGTGAGTAGGACCCCTCAGCCGTGAGGGCATGCAGCCAGGAATGGGTGTCAGGACATGAAGAGTCTGCAGGGCCCCCGCACCCATCCATGGATCTGCGGTGTGAATGGGGTGGGGCCTCTGACTGTACAACACGGCAGCTTTGATTTCTTGTGCCCATGTGGTCCTCATGGTGTGACACTTGGGGTGTGTTGATCCCGCAAGAACACATATAAATGCCTGGAGCTTTCCGTGGCAGGCAGGGCCAGGCCCCGTTATAATGAGAAGAAAGGCTCCAGCGCCTTCCTGTCCCTCCACCATGTGCCCAGGGCCTTTGGGTGCCCTCAGCTCCAAGGGCCTGTCATTGCCCTGGTCTGCCCTGGTGTCCGGCCCATTCCCCCTCCCTTCCTCTCTCCTCTCCATTCAAAGCACCTGGTGAGAGAGAGAGAGAGAGAGAGAGAGAGAGAGAGAGAGAGAGAGAGAAAAGGAGGGTTCTCAATCTTGGCTACACAGTGAATCACCTAAGTAACTTTTAAAAAGACATGTGCCCCAGAGTTTTTTATTTAACTGTTCTGGGGTTCAGCCTGGGCTTTAAGATTGTTAAAAGCTCTCCAGGGGTTCCACCGTACAACCAAGTTTGCAAACTTGCTCAGGTTTAAAAGAATCTGATTACAAGTTTCTCTCACGTTGTATCAGCTAATAGTGCTAATCCTGCCCTTTAACTTCCCAGGCACTTTCACCAACATTCCCCTGTGATCCCCACACAAACCTACAAGGTGGGCAGGGCAAGTGCTGTTATCCCCAGTTTATAGACAGCAAAACTGAGGTTCAGGACATTGTGAGACATAGCCAAGGTCACACTGAGGGCAAAGAAAACGACCCTGAGTCTCCCCTCCCAAGGGTGTTTTCAAGGTCAGCCTAGGAAGCATGGACCCACCACCGTCTGTCTGCAAGCCTGCGGGTCTGGATTCTAACCCAGCACTACCACGAAGTCACCGTTTAACCTTGAACCAAGGACTCCCTGCTTTAGTCTGTGCTTTTCCCATCTGACCTTTAAATCCCTCCCGTTGTGATTCAGTGCAAACTGGACTCCCTCCCTCAGATACCTTATAGATAGGGATGTCCTTTGAATCCTTTGGAATGAAAGAGCTGAGAACCAGAGAAATCAGCTCTCTCTGCTGCCCCCCCCCTGCACCCCCTCCTCCCCCGAGCACATCAGCCTGACCACCTGAAGAATGAAGTTAGCACTTACCTGCCTTGTGCGTTGTTTAGGTCCCAAGGTGGGTCTAAGGCTCTCCGAAAGCCAGAGGGATTATCTCAATCAGACAGTTAGCAGTAGAGTGTGAGGGTTAGGACACACCTCAGAGTTGCTCCCCGTGCTGACGAGCTGGTGTGGTGAACAGGCCGCCTGGGCTGGTGGGGGCTGGGGCCCTGGGACCTCCTATTCGTTAGGGAACAACAGTGGCCGGAGGTTCCTGAAGTTCTTCAAGGTGTGCAGGACCTGCTAGATAGAACCCATTCCTCCTGACTGCTATGAGCCAGAAGTTTTACATATAAGTGTACGGGGCAGCCACCTAGGACATGTTTAGAGATGAGCATGGTATCTCCCGCCCACGCCCTCCACCTCTTGCCATCCGCCTGAAGCGCCGCCATTTGTGTAGTGTTTCTTCAAGTTCAGCCATGTCTTCCTCAGCCCTCATAATAAAGCTGCCATGTATTCAGTTCATACACTAGACCACTCACACCTCACTCAGTCCTTGCAACAACCTTACGAAGTGATTACTACCCAATTTTACAGGTGAAAAAACTAGGGCCCAGAAAAGTTAGGGCATTGATCCTCAGTGACGCGGCTGGTGTGTGGCAGAGCTGGGTTAGACCCCAGGTCTGCGTGGCCTGCGCTGTGTCTCCGATGGCTGTAAAGGCCCCTGGGTGACAGGTGATGTTGCTATTGAGTCCTGGTGAGTTGCTTTTCATATTACTCACCCACAGGCAGTCCGGGCAGGCACGCCTCAGGTCCTCATGGGGTGGGAGCCGGGAGTAGAGAGTAGAGAGGGTCCCACGATGAGAAAGCCCCGTCACATTAACAGGTTTGCTGGGTTACCTGCAAGGACACTCCTCACCACATTTTCTGCTGCTTTGCCAAAAACACAAGAAGCTCACTCCCTGCCCTGCTTCTCTCCCAGGTCCAGTGCAATCAATGTTGTAAAGATCTTGCGAGTTCTGCGTGTACTCAGGCCCCTGAGAGCCATCAACCGGGCCAAGGGGCTAAAGGTGAGAGGGGGACTGAGCGGGAGCCACCAACACCCCCACACACACACCCCCACAGCAGCAGCCAGCCTGTGGGCTGCAGCGGGGAGCTAAGCTGTGGTGAGGGGTGGGCTGCAGGGGGGAGGTAGTGTGGGGTCGAGTGGCTGCCCTGTTGGAGCCTGCACTCTCCTGCTGCTTCTCCACTCCCCCTTTAAGAACAATGACAGGCAGCCACTCAAAATCTGAACTCCTCAGCAACACTTCTGCAAAAAGGAGACCCACACACAAACCCAGTGCCCAGATGGTGATGAGGTCCCTGTATTCCTACCCTAGGAATTAGGAAGAGAGTGGGGTTTATGTCCCTGTGGTTACCTAGAGCCCAAAGGGGCCTTTGTGTGCCACTGGGCTCCCTCCCATGTGACGCTGGGAAGGGGAAGGTGCTTTGCCTCTTTGAGTCTGAGTTCCTCACTGTGGCCAAGGGCCTGCCGTGCTGCCTCCTTGGAGGGGCCTGTGCTTTGCCAAAGAAGCCCAGGCTACAGGCATTTCCCGACACCACTCCCCCGCCCGCCTTCTCTCCATCTGCAGCATGTGGTCCAGTGTGTGTTCGTGGCCATCCGCACCATCGGGAACATCGTGATTGTCACCACCCTGCTTCAGTTCATGTTCGCCTGCATCGGGGTCCAGCTCTTCAAGGTAAGACCTTGGCTCTTCCTTCTCCTGTCAGCGTTCCTAGGAAGGGGACCTGGCACATACAGCCAGAAGAGGACCGTGGCCTGGGTCAGGCTTGGGATGAAGGTCACCCTGCCCTCAGCTCCCAGACCAGAAAAGGGACAGGCTTGGAAGGAGGCATTGCCCCACCAGGCAAAGACCCTTTGGCCTCTAGGTGCTGCCTGCCCTTCAGGTCCTGCTCCTGCTTCTGGCAGTAAAGGGAGACAGACTCCTATGCTCAGAAACCTCCGTGTGAGGCACCTGCGTAAAACCTGCAGTGGTTCCCTTTTCGGCGGCATCAAACTGCCCTGCCTCTATCCACGTCCTCTCTCACTGCTTCCTGAGAAGCCCCCCAGGTCCAGGGAGCTCAGTGTCCTTGGTTTCCACTCTTTTCTGCCGTAATCCTTTTATCTCTGTGCTTCTCCCATTGGGAGCATTCTTCCCCCCTCTCCTACCCACCAATTAAACTTCCACTGATTTCCTCCCACCCAGTCATCCCTCCAAGCCCAGCTCCACCGCTCTCTTCCCCAGGAGACCTCCTTCAGAGTCCGGCACTCACGATTGGAGCTCCCTTTTTTGAATTCCAGTGGTTCTCGGGTTCTGACTGCTTTATATCTGTGACTCAGGTCTGCCCACCTAGACTCTGCTCCCCTCACACTTGTTGTCCCAACCTCCCTAGCATGGTGCTGGGATGATCATTTCTGATTAATTCATTGATTAATGAACATCTCCAACCCCTTCCTTCTTCTGCCTTCCAGGGAAAGCTCTACACCTGTTCAGACAGTTCCAAGCAGACCGAGGCGGAATGCAAGTGAGTGCAGGCTGAATGCAAGTGAGGGCGCGGGAGCCAGCGCCCAGGCTGGGTAACTCGGGAGGTTGGTGGCTTGGTGTGAGAGGAGGGACAGCCATTCTCCCTCAGATAGCAGTGGGGCTGGACTTTTACCCAGGGATAATCTGATCCCACAGACATAACATACCAGGTTCTCCCCACTGAAGGTCCTGCCGATGGCTAGAACTGAGGGTGTTAAGCCTAACTAGTTCCCTCCCACCCAGCATGCCAAGAGTCATGTGGATCAGGTGTGAAAGGAGATGAGCGACCCCCCACAACTAACTTTCTCCTTTCTCAGGGGAAACTACATCACGTACAAGGACGGGGAGGTTGACCACCCCATCATCCAGCCCCGCAACTGGGAGAACAGCAAGTTTGACTTTGACAATGTCCTGGCAGCCATGATGGCTCTCTTCACCGTCTCCACCTTTGAGGGGTGGCCAGAGTGAGTATGCAAATCAAGGCCTGATACCAGAGGCCAGGACATGGTCCTCACACGCGGTCCCTAAGTTTTATTACTGTCCCATACTCCTTCCAGAGGTCACTTATCAGAGTCTTCCCTCCCCCCGCTTCCAGGAAGTCTGACTGTGTTTCTAGAACAATTTGTAGGCCATCATCACTGCTGAAACACACACTTTTCTTTTTCTAGAGATGTCAACATTTCAGAAACTCTAACCAAAAATGAGCTTCTTTTAGTTCTCCTTCCCAGTCTCAGAGTGAGGCCCTAACAATAGGGGTCTGTGGTTACCCTCATGACACCTGGGAGTGGGGTGTGGGGAAAGTTTCTCCACTGTGGGCCCTTGAGTCACCACAGGATTCAAGATCATCATCCCCAGCGTGCACTCAGTGCTGGTGAAGATGGCAGAGCTGTCTCTGTTTTATGAGACTCTACCCCAGCCTCCGTAGAGAAAGTGTGTTGATATTTATAGTGGAAAGTAAGAAAGGGATGGAAGCATGAGTCCAGACTTCGCTGCAGAGGCAGTGTCTTCATGCCTAAACCACCAGCTGGTCAGCCTTTATGCTGTATCACCCTTACCAGGCAGCTTGTCCATCTTGTGCTCTCTACATCTTATACAGACACCTGCTCCCCCACTTTTGTATTCCAGTGAAATTATCATCTAACAGTCAGAAAGTTCTACATATTTTAAGTCAACAATAGTACATGATCTTAGATAAGAGTCACCATTATTATATGGTAAAATATTGATAATACCTGGAGGATAACCAAGTACTATGCTGGGTAAGAAGAAGGGGAAGAGGAGAACAAGCATGATGGACATAGAGCCCAGGCCCCAATGGATGGCACACACATGTAAACCCCCAAGTGTAAAGCCAAACCATTGCTGATGATCTGAATAAGCCTGGGTCCTTTGTTGTCTACTCTTTTTATCTAAATGGGTGTTTGATCTCTGATAGATTTATGTTCATTGTAACATCCTCTGAGTCTCTGTCAGTTTGCAAAGCTATTTCAATATTTACCAATATTTATAGTATTTGAAATCAATGTCCATGATTCATATTACATTAAAATATTACAATAATTTTGACAGTTTCAGAACACCTTCATGTACATTATATCAACTATTTTGCCAGTTAGGAAAGTCAGGAATTATTGTTTTCATTTTACAGATGAATAATCTCAGGCTCAAAGAGGTTAAGTGATTTGCCCAAGGTCACAAGGCCAGTAAGTGGCATAGCTGGGACTTGAACCCAGATCTTCTGACTTCCAGGCTAGAGCTGTTTCCAGAACCCCTGAACTCCTTAGGAGCAGCAGTGCCATCATTCCGCAGAGGTGGCACTGCTTCTCCAGTTCCCTCTGTAGGACCTGTCTCCTCTTCCAGGCTGCTGTACCGCTCCATCGACTCCCACACGGAAGACAAGGGCCCCATATACAACTACCGCGTGGAGATCTCCATCTTCTTCATCATCTACATCATCATCATTGCCTTCTTCATGATGAACATCTTCGTGGGTTTCGTCATCGTCACCTTCCAGGAGCAGGGAGAGCAGGAATACAAGAACTGTGAGCTGGACAAGAACCAGGTAGCTTCCTAGAAAGGAGAGGACTGAGGCATTGAGGGGAAGTAGGGCCACATGAGGAATGACAGCAGTTGGCCCTCCCAGAAGAGAGGCTGTGGTCAGGAGAGAGATCCATATGGATACTAAGATCATCTGTCTGCTCCTGTAAATGAGAATGGGGCTCCCCAGTCTTCTGGAGGAGACTGAGCAAAAGAAATTCTAACCCCAGATCTACCAAATGCATTCATTCAGCCAACAATTATTCATTAAGTATCTACTTAAGGAGACTCTGTGATAGACTTGGGGGAGGGGGGTGTGAGGGGGTGAAAACCTTGTGCCCTATCTAGAAGCTGACAAATTAGAAAGTGCCCATGGTAGGTTAGTCCCATTGATAAAAAGGAAAGAAACTAGAACAGTGAGGGACTGAGAGTTTTGAGGGTTAGGAAGAGCATGGCATTAAAAAACCACTATTAAATGGTTTCTCAAGTAAAACCCAGAGGCCTGTGCATGAAGTAGGGGCAGGAGAGAGGCTTAAGTAGGAGTGCTGTGGTAATGCCCAGTACCATGTTATACTCTCTCAGACTATGAACAAGAACTGGCAATTGGTGAGGAATGAGGCTGTTAGGGTGGGCTGCAGTGTACAGTCACCGAGGTCAGGTGCCCAGCCATGTTCCCCCATGGGAAGAGTCCATGCAGTAATATACCCCTCTGAGTGACTTCAGGTCTGCTTATGGAAAGGAGCATGGCACAAGACACTCAGCTCTACCCGTTAGGCAAGCTGAACCCCTCAAAGATTTTGATGTCAACATCTTGGGTTGAGACTCATCATTCTGGCTGCTGTATGGACTTTGGGTTGGTAATAAGACAGGGAAGAAGGAGACCAGTCAGAAAGTTTATATGAAAGGTGATTAGACCCTCATCTACTACCAGGTTAACAATAGTAGAGATGAAGAGACTAGGAGGAAATAAGGTGGATCAGGCTTAGAGACTGGATATGGGGGCGGGTGTGTGTGTAAGAGAAGAGGCTAGAGTGACCCCCCGGTTCCAGACTTGGAAATTTGGGCACAGTGCTAAGAAATTCTGGGCACAGTGATAGGCACTTTGCTGGAGTCCCAAGAACCTAGTTAGCCCAAGATCTCATCACCATCCATGATCTGGGTCTTCTGATCTGTGGACACTGGTAATAAGGAAGATTGGTTGAGGACAAGAAAGAAAAATAGAGCAGACAAGTGCTCCAAAGAGAGTATGTGGCATAGGAACTAAAATGCCAACTATGTGGCAGCAGTGTAGTAGGCATTGGGAGTTGAAAGGAGACACATACTCCTCAGCTAAGCCTAATAAAGAGATTAACTAGAAGATATGATCTCCTTGATTAAGGGAGAGAAAAATCTAAAAAATGTTCAAATAATACCTCAAACTTATAAATGAGCTAGAGCAATAAATTATTCTCAGATTCCCAGAGAACGCTACCCCTCAGGGATATAGTTTCATCAATATCCCACCCTCCTCTGCACATATCCAGGTAACTAACCACACTCTCTCCCCATTTCCGCCACCCCCCCCCAACTACCTCCCTCCCAGCGTCAGTGTGTAGAGTATGCCCTCAAGGCCCGACCCCTGCGGAGGTACATACCCAAGAACCAGCACCAGTACAAAGTGTGGTATGTGGTCAACTCCACCTACTTTGAGTACCTGATGTTCGTCCTCATCCTGCTCAACACCATCTGCTTGGCCATGCAGGTTAGTCCAGGGGGGCCCTTGATCCCTTGATGCCTACATGGGGGAGAGTGCTATGGGAGGAAATGGAGTGCAAAAGGGCTGCACAGGCATCTCTGGTTTGTCACCTCCCTGGTGGCCAAAGGAGGTTGAAAGATCAGAAGAGCTGTCCTCTTCTCCCAGGTAGAGAAAGACAAGTTCTCTTTCTCAAGGATGGGCTCCTCTCTGGGACCCTAGGAATCCATAGCCCCTAGGTTGGAACAAATGGAGAGAGTGGAGGAAATGGAGAACAGAGGGTGAGCTCGAAGTGTTCATTATGGTCAATAAGACATGGTGTGTGGAAATTGATTCTACATCTACCTGTCTTCAGGGAGATCAGCTCATGCTAGTGCTCTTTTGAGTGCCAGGATTCTCCATAAAGTTGTCATAACCAATCAAAGCAGGAACGTAGAACTCTGCCAACTTCTGTTTTTGGAGATGGCAGAGAAAGAAAGAACTTGTAAGATTTCCTGAATCCACTTGACTGCCCACAGAGAACTGGATGGCCTTCCAGGAAGTGGATGGTTCAAGGAAGACCTCTGTTGAGATGAGGGTGGTGAGGAGTAGGGATATCCCTGCCTCGTTTTCACAGTTCTTCCCTCCGCTCAGCACTACGGTCAGAGCTGCGTGTTTAAAATCGCCATGAACGTCCTCAACATGCTCTTCACTGGCCTCTTCACTGTGGAGATGATTCTGAAGCTCATTGCCTTTAAACCCAAGGTAAGCCTCTGAATAAAAGACATCTGGTGTGCAGGTACTAGAGGGATGGAGTACCAGTATCGAAAGAAGGAGAGTGAGGGGCAGAAATAATCAGTGAAGGGCCATATCTTCTCTGATGATAGATAAATGCTCCAACTCCTAAACCTGCCAAGATTGGACCAGGTCAAGTCTTTGAAGTAGAATCTCAGCTCATGATCTGGACCAGGGGTCCTCAAACTACGGCCCGCAGTCCACATGCAAATACAAATATTGTATTTGTTCCCGTTTTGTTTTTTTACTTCAAAATAAGATATGTGCAGTGTGCATAGGAATTTGTTCATAGTTGTTCTTTTTTTAAACTACAGTCCAGCCCTCCAACGGTCTGAGGGACAGCGAACTGGCCCCCTGTTTAAAAAGTTTGAGGACCCCTAGACTCTGGACCATGGCTGATATGGACAGGACACAGATTCGCCCCTGAGCTGAGCCTTTCCATCCAGGGGAGGCAGATGATGCTCTTCCCTCTCCCATTTCTCACTTTGTCTCTGGCCCATCCCCCAGTACATCATCTAGAAGAAACTATGCAAACCAAACCTCTCCAGGCCCAGCACCCCAGATCCACTCAGGCCTCTGTTCTATCCTCCTCCCATTTCATCAACCACCAACCCCATTGTAAAAAGCCCAGCCAGGGCTGCATTTGCTCAGGGCTCAGTATTCTAGCCCAGTGGTCGGCAAACTCATTAGTCAACAGAGCCAAATATCAACAGTACAACGATTGAAATTTCTTTTGAGAGTCAAATTTTTTAAACTTAAACTATATAGGTAGGTACATTGTTATTAACTTAATTAGGGTACTTCTAAGGCTTAGGAAGAGCCACACTCAAGGGGCCAAAGAGCCGCATGTGGCTCGTGAGCCGCAGTTTGCTGACCACGGTTCTAGCCCATGGGGCCTCCTGTTCCCCACCTCAGAGACGACATCATTGCTCCCTTGCACCTTCCAGCACCTGAAGGGCAGTTACCTGCAAATGTCTATGCTTTGCTTCTTATAAGCAGCTCCTCAAAAAGAGTTTGAGAGACAAGAGTAGAACCCTTGGATGGATGAGGCAGGGTAGGGAAAGCTGGATTACCTATCACCTTGGATTATCTGTGCCCTCCTTAACCAGCCCACCCCATTGTCTTGGATAATGGAGGAGCAGGCTGGTTTGAGCAGCATCTTCTGTCTTCCATCCCTGAAGACCAGCCAGAATCAATGGCATCCACTGACCTGGGATTCACAACATGGGCAGCTACTTCTGAGGGAGGGTCTGTAACAACTCAGTGGCTCTCCTGGCTACCCTAACTCCTGTCGGAGAGCGATGAGAAGGAAAGATTTGGTTCAGAGAGAATTGTTCCATACGGACATGAGAAAACTCTCTGGCTTTCTGTTCCTTCTCTTCCCCTCCTTTGTTAGTTTCCCCAGATGCATCACAGATCAACAGAAGGCCAAAAGGAGGAGTCCCTGGCCATGTATTTTATTGCTATTCAAATGTGTACTTGTCCCAGGACTAACTGGGACAGGGGGTGCTCCTTGGCTCTTGGATCCACGTTCATTGACAAGCTATCCATCATCTTTTTTGAATTAATATTCAACCAGCATTTCTGGATAACCTACCATGTGCTACACATACCTCATTGCATGTAAACCTCAAAATGCCCCTGTACGATAGGTCTTAGCAACCCCACTTTAGGGAAGAGGGAAGTGAAGTTCAGAGCAATTGGGTGTAATATTAATTACACCAGTACTAATTAGCTTAACTGGGAACAGAATCTAACACCTCTGAGTTAAGGTCAGTGTATTTCCACATCAGCTTGTTAGCATCTTTCCACATCAAGTGTTCTGCTGGGTACATTTCAGAAAGAGGGAAACAACCTTTGAGATACGCCAAAAATAAGACTGACAATATTCTTAAAATGCTGATTTTTCTTTCCACTCAAAGAATGCCTAGGTGTTTTGGCTGATTTTCAGAGAATTAGACTCCTAATGAAGGTCATCTGGTGATAAGAATGGTGTTTTCCTGCTTCCTCCAGGGCAGCAATTATAACCTTTTCCCTTCCATCCTAGTCCCATTAAGGGACATAAATTTTTGCCCTGGCCTAGAGAAGACCACTGAATATCCCTGGCCACTTTCTGAAGGGCTCACAGTACCTCTGCCCACCTGTGGGCCAGGAGTACTGACAGGTTCACAGCCCACAGCGATATGACCGAGCGAGGCCAGGAATTCAGGATCATTGCCGAGTTGAGCTTCAATCTCAGATGGCAGCCCCTAGGTAGGGAAACTGGCATCACTTTCATCTAGTTTCATGAGACATATGGTTTAAATATTTCAAAGCCTTGAGTCATTTCACAATTGACTCAGATGTGTTTCTGATGATGCCTGACGCAATCTGCAGGGCCCTGCGGTGGACTTCCTGAATCAGTCTCACCAGCACGGGGGATGTATTGAGCAAACCTGCCCCAGGGTGCAAATGAAACTGACACCTGCAGGAGCCTCCACCTGAAAGACATTGTGCCCAAATCCTGCAGCTCTAGGAACGAGCCAGCCTCCCAAAACTAGCCAGCTGTGGTCTACAGCATAAAATGCTGCCTAGTTTCCTCAACCCCTAGTTGTCTATTGTGAGAATATGGGAAAAACAAGAGAGACTTTTCCTAAAGAAGAAAGAGAGCCATCCTGGGGCCATTTGCATTTCACCCGCCAGGGTCAGTCTGTAAAGAGAACGGGAAATGGACCCTTCCTGTGGACGCCTCTAAGTGTCTCCTGGCAGGAGAGGGTGCCGGTCACTGAACTGGCTGGCCAGCGAAGGTCGACCAGTTTGGAGGAGCATTGGGAAAGCAGGGCTCCCTGGATTCTTACTAAGTGATATTCTTCATTAAGGAATAGACTCCAGCAAAAGCCTCCCCAAACATTTCAGGCAGAAAACCAAACCAGAAACGACTTGTAGCTCTGGTGAAAATATCGAGCTGAATGTGCCCAAGAACCAGGGCTTCTGACAGTGACCTGAAGTTAATTCCCATTAGTTGAATTCTGTTGCACCTTATCACTCCCTGGATGATTGTTTATGGGTGATATGAAAGGGTTTACACTTGTGGGCAATCGCTGTAAAAGGACAGTTAGGCAGCAACACAGTCACAGCCAGGGAGAAGTGATCTCACGTTGCCACTACTTGCTTTTTCTTGTCCTTTTTGTCTCTGTGATTGGTTGGTTGGTCAGTCAGTCAGTTGGTTGGTGTGTGCTCTTGCTTTCATTGTCTTCAGGGCGATTAGTGTTCCCAAGTTCTTCATTTCTATCTATTCTCACCACTCAATGGAAAATGAATTACTCAAGTAAATCCCTGCCCCAAATTCAACTGCCCCACTCCTTAAATCCACACTTTGTTCCAAAAATACACAAAAACGATGGGTGAATATAAACCGGTTTAGAGCAATTCAGTCCCCCACCAAACCTCAGGGGCCTGAGTCTGCTGATGTCTGGAAGAGTGGGAAAGCCGAGACAGTAGGATTGATTTGAAGACCTAATGGCATGCCAAAGGAAGTCCCCTCCTGAGAGCAGAAGGCATGCCTGGGTTGGGGCAGAGAGCACCTGGGTCCTACTTGATTGTGCAGGACCAAGTTGGTCAGCATGAAAAACTGGTTAGCATGGTCTGAAAATAACTAAATAGCTGGGTTGTTTTCCTATCATGAACTGAAATTTGTCAAAAATGATGGATAAATATTTTTAAGATACACTTTATGATAAGCACTGAAAAATATACAATGCCCAAGAATAAATCTAACAAAATACGTCTCAAATCTCTACAAAGAGAACGATAAAATTTCATAAAGATGAATTAAAGAAAACTTAGTAAATGGAGAAATATATCATGTTCATGAATTGGAAAACCTAATATTATAAAGATGTCAGTTTTCTTCAAACTGATCCATAGACCGCACAATCCCAGTTAAAGCTCCAGGTTGAACTTTACCCAAGGTGGGAATAGCAGGAGAAAGGGAGCCACCCAACAAGAACTCTATGGCCAATCGGATGACCTTGGGTGAGTGGTCCCAAGGCTTCAACCCAGTTGGGCCGCTCAGATATCAGGAGAGGCAGGAACCTGCTTCTAGAAGCGGTGCCAGTCACGACACTCCACTGTCAGCAGGGTTTTAGTACCAAGAGTGATGCTGCGACTTGGTTGCCTGGGATTTGCTGTTGACAATGACTCAGCAAGGGTGAGGGCGTGAGGAGCAGCACAGGATGGGGCTCTGCCTTCCCCTCTTCACTAGAAGTCCATCTTCCCAGGAAAGGAGAAGCCCACCCAAAGAGAAAGTTTCTAGCCACTCTCCTCCCCCACAGGTCTGCCCGTGGTCATGGAGGGGTGACAGGCAGGAACTGCTATTTCTGAGACTTACCTCATTCCCAGTGGCTGCTGCCCGCTCAAGGAGCATGCACTGCTCACTACCTCTTAGCATCTCCCCAAGGGGAAGACTCTGGGGGGAGTTGACCTTGGCAGCTCTCTGGCTTTCTTCCAGCCTGAGAATAGTCTGGAGAGGTGAATGGGCCCAAAGTGAAAACACTCACTGACCTTCCTGGCCCCCTGTTTTCTTGAATAAGAGCAACTGAACCTCGGGACTCACCTTCCTGTTGTAGGACAAATTAGGGTCCAAGGGCATTTCCAACCTGAGGGATGAGTGAGGCCTCTAAGCCAGCACTATGTAATGGAGCGTTCTGCAGTAATTAAAACGTCCCATACGCCCTGGCCACGAAATAGCCACTAGCCTTCCGTGCCTAGTGAGCACTTGAAATGTGGCTAGTGCAGCTGAGGAATAGATGTTTTCATTTTGTTCACTTTAATTACTTCACATTTCTTGGGCTGCGCGTGGCCGACAGCTGCTGTACAGGGCAGCACGGCTCAGACGTGGCTTCTGCCCAGGACACTCCTGTAGCTGCTGCCCTCTGTCCGTCTTGGCTTCTTCAACCCATCTGCTTTGGCTTCATGAAACTGATGGTTTC